AAATGGCCCAGTCTAAAGTCTCTTTAGTGACTCTTTGAATGACCCGGTCTAAAGTCTCTTTAGTGACTCTTTGAATGACCCAGTCTAAAGTCTCTTTAGTGACTCTTTGAATGACCCGGTCTAAAGTCTCTTTAGTGATTATTTGAATGACCCAGTCTAAAGTCTCTTTCGTGACTCTTTAAATGACCATTTAGCATTTAATTTTGAAGCTTTGATCCAGAAAGTGTTGCCAGGGAGAAATATTACCCCCCCTTTATATAATACAGTACTTGTTTATTTACAGCTGTAACATGTTTTTTTTTATAATATAATATAAAAACTCCACTGTGCTTTTATTTTGTTAAAGTTTTTGTCTTCCTGTTTTTTCCATGGTTCTCTTCTGTGATTGGTCCAGTCTGATGATGTCATCGGTTAAAGTGGAGTGCGTGATAAAGGCGGGTGCTCTGATTGGAGAAGGGCCGCTGTGGGAGGAGTCCCAACAGACGCTGATGTTTGTCGATATCGCCGGGCAGAAAATCCACCGCTGGAGGCCAACGACCAATCAGAGCGAGTCTGTGGAGACAGGTGGGCCAATCGGCACGCAGCAATCACTCAGAGGTGATTCTTCATTATAATAATATTTAAACAAATTATATTCATGGTTCTCCTCAGAGGACTTTGTAAGCTTCGTGGTTCCTCGTGTCTCCGGGGGTTACCTGGCAGGCATGGGTCGTAGCATCGTGGCTGTTGAATGGTCGACTCAGATGATGACATCACTGGTGGAGCTGGACGAGGACAAACCGAACAACCGTCTGAACGACGGGAAGGTGGATCCGAGAGGACGCCTGCTGGCAGGTGGGTGTACCTGTCCGAGCTGAAGACCAATCAAGACGTGTTATCTTCATAAACCTGCGATGTTAGGCTATCTACGTTAGGCTAACTATGATAGGATATCTATGTTCTGCTAACTATGATAGGATATCTATGATCGGCTAACTATATTAGGTTAACTATGATAGGCTAATAACTATGTTCTGCTATCTATATAAGGCTAACTATGATAGGATATCTATGTTAGGCTAACTATGATAGGATATCCAGGGCTCGACAGTAACGGTTGCCATTGGCAACCATTCAGAAAAAATGTCAACCACTTCTTGGCCTTTGGTTGCCATCAGTGGCAACCAGTTTTTAACATAAAGAAATAAGGACAGCAAACAGCTAAATGTGCACCCCAAAAGAAATAAATATTAAATATTTGTTGTATTAAGAGTGATATTTAATTATTGTTGAGACCAGTCGGAACCTGATACTTAAGTTGCACGTGTGATTACGGAGCCAGAAAGCGATGCACGTTTACTCGCGTGCGCGGTGCCCCGTGTGTTTGTTTTACAAAAAATGGCGAAGCAAATTAAGTTGTTTGACTGTGGGGTAAAAAGTTCGGCCAACCTGTCAACTTCTCAAACTAATGTTCAAAGTGATTCAACTGATAAAGCGCAAGATGAGCCCGAACGAAAAGCAAAGAGGAAATGTGTAAAGTCTTGAGAGGCGAAATATATAGCGTTATTGTTGTGCCTTTTGAGCATAGAACATGTTATTGAGCACGCAATTGAACATTTTTGACCACAGAAAAAGATATTTTGCAAGCACATCAATTATATTTTGAAGAGAAATTGACTCTCAAGCCCTCTCACAAACTCCTGCACACGCTCTCTCTCCCTCGCTCAACCTCTCCACCCTGTGTGCGCTCAAGTTTGCCTGCGGGCTCGCTCAAGTTGGCACAGCGTTACAAATGTGCCACAAAACCAACCAAATCGGAGAGCTCGAGAAGGTCAATTCTGATTGGCTGTTTTGTCTCCAATCATATCTTCTATCTGAGGTATGGAAAGAGAGGGATTTTAGGTTGGCCAGACATTTATAATGTTAAATAAACGAAAACCATTCACAGTTAAGAATTATATATTAATTATTAATGCCATAAATGATTGCATACAATTACAGTTTCTTATTTCTCCAGTATGATAGCTGTCAAACAGGAGTTACATCCATTTTTCACTTATTCTAAGAAATACTTTTAGTGAAATAAGTACATTCTGCTCCGTTTTCTATTCACTTCCGGTAAAAGTTCCTTCAAAATAAGATTCCCGATCTTATTACTACCAAAATAAAAGTGCAAAACGAAACTTTACCATAGGAAAATATTGGCATACATATATAATCACTTCTATAAAAAGGTAACACATTTTAAATATAGTTAGACATATTAAAAGGTAATTTACAGCATTAATAACTAATTCTTAACTGTGAATGGTTTTCATTTATTTAACAATAGAAATGTATTAGTCTGGCCAATGACAGAGCCACAATCAACGCTGAAGGGCCAGTGGATCTATGGTGGGGGTCAGCACAAAGGTCAAGAAAACCCACATTTGAAAGGGAGACGACGGATGAAAAAGAAACAAGTGACTTGTTCCATTCATTTGTGAGGGATCTGTGAAGAATATGACAACAGCTGCACTACTGGTATTTAGTATACCAGCAATTGAGGGTGGACAAGTTTCCTACCACTTAGGTTTCAAACAAATGTGTTAATTACTTATTGTAAAGCATTTGAACATTCTTTTGTGTCACATGTTCATTATTCAGTTGATGTATAACTGTATAGCATCTTAATTATTTAAAATATAAGGTGACTAAAAATGGCAACCATATTTTCAGTTTTGGCAACCAAAAGCTGATGCCTGGTTGCCAGCCTGGCAACCACTTTTAAAAGTTAGCGTTGAGCCCTGATATCTATGTTAGGCTATCTATGTTCTGCTAACTATGTTAGGCTAACTATGTTCTGCTTAGCAACAGTTCAGTTGTGTGTCTCAGGTACGATGGGGAGGGAGAACCGACCGGCGGAGGTTCAGAGGCAACAAGGGTCTCTATTCTCTGTGACCTCTGACCTCTCTGTGACCAAACACCTGACACAGGTGACCTCACCTTTAATCACTCGTTAACACACTTCTGCTATTGACCTCTGACCTCTCTTCACCTGTCTCTCTGTACCTGTCTGTCTGTACCTGTCTCTCTAGTATCTGTCTGTCTTCTCAGGTGGACATCTCTAACGGGATGGACTGGTCTCTGGATCACAAAAACGTTTTTTTACATCGACAGTTTGTCTCTGACCGTTGACGCTTTCGACTACGACTCAGACTCTGGACGTCTCGGTATCTGAGTATTTATTATCGTGTACTCGTACTGCAGTAAACATGCATTTATCATCTTGTACTTGTACTGCAGTAAACATGCATTTTCATCTTGTGCTTGTACTGCAGTAAATATATTTGAATGCGGTACACAATCTTAATCTGTATACCTGTGTTGCCCAGGTAACCGGCGTGTTGTGTACCACCTGGTCGAGGGGGAGGGGCTTCCTGACGGGATGACGGTGGACGCGGACGGTCGTCTCTGGGTGGCGATTTATAACGGAGGGCGAGTCCTCAACATCGACCCCGAAACCGGTCAGTCAGAACCTCAGTGTACTCTGAGGGTTCTCTCAGGTGTATCTGTAGTCTCAGGTGTACCTGTGGGTTCTCTCAGGTGTACCTGTGGGTTCTCTCAGGTGTACCTGTGGGTTCTCTCAGGTGTATCTGTAGTCTCAGGTGTACCTGTTGTCTCAGGTGTATCTGTAGTCTCAGGTGTACCTGTAGTCTCAGGTGTAGTTGTTGTCTCAGGTGTATTTGTTGTCTCAGGTGTATCTGTAGTCTCAGGTGTAGTTGTTGTCTCAGGTGTAGTTGTTGTTGTTTCAGGTGTGTGTCTGCAGACTGTTTCTCTGCCGGTGACAAAGACCACTTCCTGTTGTTTTGGGGGTCCGGACTTCTCCGACCTCTACGTGACCTCAGCCAGTCTTGGCCTGGACCAATCAGAGCGGAGGAAGCAGCCGCTGGCCGGGGGGGTCGTTCAGGGTGAGCGGGAGCAAAAATAATGTTTATAAAAATATGAATACAACTATACAACGAGCATGATGCTTCCATGTCCATACTAAAGTGTGTGTGTGTGTGTGTGTGTGTGTGTGTGTGTGTGTGTGTGTGTGTGTGTGTGTGT